CATCCAGAACAAGAACAGCAGCTACTTCGTCGAATGGATCCCCAACAACGTTAAGACTGCCGTTTGTGACATTCCACCCAGAGGCCTGAAAATGTCTGCTACTTTCATTGGAAATTCCACTGCAATCCAAGAAGTCTTCAAACGTATCTCTGAACAATTCACCGCCATGTTCAGGCGCAGGGCTTTCTTGCATTGGTACACCGGCGAAGGCATGGACGAAATGGAATTTACTGAAGCTGAATCCAACATGAATGATTTAATTTCTGAATACCAACAGTACCAAGATGCAACCAACGATGAAGAAGAGGATTTCGATGAAGATCAAGAACAAGAAGTGGATGAAAACTAAGTCAATGGGGAATCTCAACATGTACTAGTAAATTAGATTATATTGTTGTTTAATTGTTGTTAATTAAACATTGTAAATTAGATTATATTAATAATACAGTGGGAATAAAAACCAACGGCAAATGCATCAATATGCATGTTATGCGACGAAATGCGAGTGCTATCCAGGAAATTTTCGAGCGAATTTCCGAACAGCAAAAAACAACGGAAATTCAATTAGTGTGGCCTTATTGGAGGACTATTAGGCTTACGCCATCTTGCAACTTGTACTCTTCTTTGATAGCAAATTCTCTGATTTTCCGCCATTGGTCTTGCGGGTTTGCAGAATTCATTTACGAAAGCGCACGTGCAACGAGTACGCGTCCAGAACTTACTTGCGCTTCAAAAACTCCCTTTCAGAGCCTGATGATGCTGTGGAAATCGAAACATGTCGCATCGATAGCTTGGCGTACAGCTGATCTGAAAGCTCGAATACTTAGTGAAATTTGAAAAGTTCTCCAAAACCCCCTGAGCACGACACAAAAGGAAAACTTTTAGAATACATAGACTTGCATCCGGGCTTTGTATTGCAACATTTTTCCAGTTGCTGACTTTTTTGGTTTTGCCGAAATCAATTTTTGTAGGCCCACTTGCAATTAAGTTTGCAAAGAGCCGCTTGAAGACTGGCTTAAATTTGAAAAGTTGTTGTAAAAAATTAATGGTAGTTTGCTTTTCAACTTTGACTCGAAAATGTTTTCTGATAAAAACATGTTCTGATAAAAAATTTAGATATGAAAGTTATGTTTGAATTATTCGCTCAATTTGGAAGATAAATAAACTCTTGGGTTTTATTTTTATTTATTCAAGTATCTAACAATTT